CGAGACGAATTACAGGCGCTACGAACCGGAGCAAGGGTCAGATTTACAGAATATGCTTTCATTCTGCGCTATAAGGGAATATATACGTATAGATACCAATCATAACTGTACATTTTGTTTTCACAGACTAATCTCGCCTCATAATGAGGCGGTGACCTCGTATTTGCTCCGGGAAAAGTCCAGATTTAGACGACGTCATTGTGTGTAAGTGACACTGTTTCTCCTTCCTTGTTAAATGTTACTGTGACTTGCGTTTGATTTTTTTTGTATTCATACCACACTCATTTAATTGTTTCCCAGCCGCCTGTAAGACGGATTGTGAGACGATATGCAGGAGCTTCAGGTTCAGCCGGAACACTCATTGCGGGCGGAAGCTGCGAAGGATTCAGCGCGGAGTCGAGCGAGAAGAAAGAGGGTCAGAGTTTATTTGCTGACTTGTTTCAGGTGCATTGATCGATGTGTTGTGTCCGTACGCATCGCACAGTACTGATTCATTCATTGATTCATTCATTGTTGTTTTTACAGCTGCTGGAATCGAGACAAAGTGTGCTGGCTGATGACGAGGTGGAACTCTGGAAATCCACCACCGTGGAGCTCACGTCGGATGGAGGGGACGGCGTTGTTGGCGGGGTCTCGGGTGGATCGTACGGTCGCCACACACACACGAGCCGCATGCACAACAGACCTGCATTGGAAAACTCGCCGCCAGTGACGGTCTACGACCCCGAGGAGGCAAAAGTTTACTGAGCTGTAGTTTTTAAACCGCCGTTACCCAAGTGTGGGCAGATCCTCACTTTGTATGTAGTTGTTGTTTGTGTGTTGTTAATAAAGCTCTTTCTTTGCATAAACATGTGGCAAATGTTCATTTTCTCTATAAATTCATTGATGTCCTGGTTGGTATCCTAATAATAGTGTAGTAGCCTACATAGGATGACCATGAAATGAATATACAGCATAATATGAATATATAAATAAAATGAGGCGGGTGACCAATAGCGACAGATCTGCCAACCAATCACGAGTGATTGAAAGTTGTGGTTTCATCCAATCATGAACAAGGAAACTCAAGCCTGGTCTGCCCACGTGTGGTTTTGCTGCCAATCACGAGTGATTTTATTTGTTAGTAAGTTGTGGTTTCATCCAATAAGGAGTAAGGATATTCAAGCCCGCTCGGCTCGGCCACCCGCGGCTTCGCTGCATTCATATGCTCATTAGGGCCATTCGCACCTCCGCCAGCTCTCCACCTACGTCATGGTTCGTTTCTGACAGTTTGTGGCACAGACAAACGCGACGTGCGCGGGTTGCAAATTGTCGGAAATTGTCGGAAATTAGGGAGATTTCTGGGCGTTTACGGGGACGAAAAGCTCACTTTTCATGCAGTGTATTTCTACACCATTTGCAAACTCGGCGCTTACCAGCCTGCTAAATGGTTTTATATTTGATCTTGACCTGTTTTCCAGTTGTTAGTTTGACATTATTTGGAGAAAGATTTTTAGAATTAAGACACAGCTTATAGAGATTTGTGCATATGGTTGTAAAACATATTCTCCTATTGTGAATAAGGGGTTGAAATGAGTCTTTAGGGTCAATTTCCAGAGGAATTAATTCCCTCTGCTCTCTTTTAAGGCAAAGTAGGATAAATAATAATACGTTGTATTTATATAGTGCTTTACATGGTAGGCTGCTCAAAGACACTTTAGGGTAAAACCAGCACATACACACAGATACAGAAATAAAAAGCTGCCATTTTCCTTTTTTGTTGCATATTTTATGCTTCACCTCCTCGTATATTTTCCATGATTCGTTGCTGCTCGGCGGGTGAAAAATATGCTCCATTTGTGCATCAGGACCCCGTGGTCTTCTTCAGAAAGCCGTGAACGTGCACTGATCCAGCTGTGTCCACCTGGATTGACTGAGCTCCCCCTTCTCATCCCGGCTCGGCAGATGTGCAACTGATTAAGATCACACAAGTCAAGTCAGTTATCCTGGATTTCTTTATTCTACTTTTGTGCAACAGCCCCCAGGATCTTAAAAAACAAAACATTCCTAACGGAGCGATTTTGAGTTTTGTGATCTTTGAGCCAAATAAAGACGACCTTTTTCTGTTCATTCTGCTCTTTGAGTCCTCTCTTAAAACGTGGGCCAGACCGCAAAGGACGTAGTTAGCGGACCAATCGCACCCTTGTGCGCTGCTTCGACGCAAGCCTAGAAAAATGGGTCGACGCGCGCAAGGAGGTGTGAAAAGACACGCAAGGGACACGCAAGGGACACGCAAGGGACGCGCAGGGGACGCGCAAGGGGGTCTTGCGTCTGCGTCGCTGTGAAAACGCAGAAGCATAAACTAGGCTTTAGTTGTGGTGCTATCAAGTATTACATGCATGCATTGGTATTATATTGATCACAGTTTCAAAATTACAGTGTTTTACAATATTCTCATTAGTGTATTGATCACATTGTTCCAGAATCATGGCTGTATTCTGATGTACACTAAATGCATTTTATTAATTTATGAACCGGGTCGTCAGGTTATTTCTAATATCCTACAATAGATATTTTTAACAAAGTTGAACCACATGGAGGTTTGGTACAATCAAGAGGGTCTCCTGCTGGTATCCTCCCAATGATTTCACACAATGCGCTTTACTTTCTTTTACGACTGTGATTGACTTATTACAAACTAAGGGAATGAAAACTAGGTAGATGGGCTATTTTATAATGTATATTTAACAGACAATTACATTTTGTGAAATGTAGACATGAGTACGACAATTCAACTCGGACTGTCAATTGGGGACAAGCTGTTGAAGACAATGTAATCTTCCCAGTTGCACCTCGCATTAGAAAATGCCGGTTGATGTTGGTAATACCGGTTCTGGCCCTGAAACGACACGTATACTTCACCGCAAACCGCATTCAGTCAGTGTTTGTGGGCCAAACAGCATAGTCTTGACCTATAACAGCAGCCTCTGGCTCGGTATCAGCTTTACTACAAAAATATTGTAGTTATACGTCCACTTCTGGGCCAATTCTGGCACATACATGGATAGTAAATAATAAGCCGACACTGGGGGGAAGACAGCCAGTCGGCCCAGAACTGACTGCTATCTGGGTTCCCTCCATTTCTCCGTTTGGCTCAAAATAACATAAACCAAGTGTCTCAATGCGTTTGTCCGATTCACTGATTATATCCTGTTACTCCACCTAATCATTTTTTTATAAAATAAGAAGAGGACTACCGGCTTATTTCCAATATTTCCTCTTTTTTGTCAACGCCTCAATTCCTCTTGTGAGATAAAGAGAAAGGAATAGGGGTTTCTTTCAGGATGAAAATGGTGGTGGATCTTGTTGCAGAAGTCACACACAAAGACGGCGGTCTAGAATAGTCCCCTTCTATATAAGGGAGCTATTTAGTTCAAAACATGCTTATGTAAACCACTGCTTATTATATTGTGCAGAGGCAAAATATGTGCAAAAAGAGCAAATGGGCAAGATATGCTTTTTGAATCCTCTAATAAGGCAATGCAAACTTTATTGTCCTGTGCAAAGAAAGAGCAAACTGGTGCAACGCACCACACACACACACCACACACTAACTTAAGAGAGAGCTGTCCACTAGATGGGTAACAAGCAGAGATCATTACAGGTAAGCTTTTAATGAAAAACGCTCTGTTTTTTAAGCAAGAGGAAAATAAATAAGGGGGACCTTATTCTATTGTGCTTTTATTGAATCTATCTTATCCTTTTGTCTGGTTTCATGGTTTGGAAACCTAAAAAGCTTTATGTGGAAAAAGGCCCTTGTAGAAAGCGTGCCTTCCTCCGACTCAATGATATGAGTCTTTCAGGATAACATTTCTAATATGCATAAGGCTGTAAGGACATGATGGCAGGGAACAATGGCTCCTCCATCAAAACACACTTCCGTCATATCATTTCCCATCAGGCGGAACTGTTGAACCTTTTGCCAAAAAGCCTGTTCAGCCAATAGCATTGATGGACAGATGGTTGGGGAGACGGACAAAGGGATGGGGAGCTGACGGAGAGATGAGCAGATGGACGATCTGTTTCCCAGCAGCACATAGCAACAGGACAGCTGAACACAGCTGAGTAACAAGCTGTTTGTGTTAAAGGAAAGGCCGATCCTTATTTAAGTCACTTTATAAGGTTCCAGCTCATTCACTTCGCCCCAAACAGGAGTTCAGGTGTCACCAGTTGATTCTGAGAGTGAGAACAGCAACGTGCTTCCCGTCGGTCATAAAAAGACTCCAGTCCCCCAGAAGACATTTGTCACAAGTTGCTTTTTGTATTAAAGGGTTTGACGGGTGGCGTGAGGCAGGTTGAGTGGTACCACCCTGCTATGAGGGGGGGGGGGGACTCTTATTTTGTAGCGTCGTCCCTCTCGTGTCCCTGGTTTAGCTTCACTTCCTGCCCCGTCGTCCCCTGTGATTGTCTGCCGTGTCCCCGATTGTGTCTCCTGTGTCCAGTCACCTTCCCAGTGTATCTGAACCATGTGTGTCGCTTGTTTTTCTGTCGGCGCATTGAATGCCGTTACGTTGGATGTGGTTCCTACGTCGGTGTCCTCCTGGTCTGCAGTTTCCCACGAGGCATTTTGATTATTAAAATAAAGTCCTAAGTCTGTTATTTGCAAAGATCTGCGATTGAGTCCTGCTTCCTCCATCCCCGACGTGACAGCAGCGACAAGAGGACGAGAGAACTCCCCAGTTCTCCCAGAATTCATTCTTCTTTTTGTTAAATCAGTAGTTCATGTCTGTGCCGTGTATGATTACATCAAACTAAGAAGTACTTGGTCTTCGGCTGAACAGAAACAACGCTGCCTCTAGAACCTTGTGTGTTCCACGTCATCTGACAGTAAGGACGGCAGCATTAAAGTGACCCAGATGCTAAATTCTTAAAGACCTGGGATATTGATTATATATATTACAGAGAGAACATATATTATGTCAAATAAAACCCACCATGTGGAAAAACAAAGCATGGAACAGTTCTGTTAGTGCACATTTATTATTCTGATTGGCAGTGGTTCGGTTACATGTACAGCAGGTCTGAAACTGGTTCTGGAGGCGTCCGTTCAGCTGCTCCAGGAGAGTCTGAAACCTGAAGGTTGGCTGGCGTACTGGGCTCGGAAAACCACGTACGCTTGGTGGGTGGAGGCTGTGAACGGAGCGATGTCGCTTTCCTGAACAAACATCACAGAGGAGGAACAGATGGCGTCATTCCCATAGACGTGTCACGTGTATCTAAGCTGACAAATACACCACCGTCATCTCTAACCTCTATTTATGGCTCTCTCCATCACATGCTCACTAGGCAGTCATTTTATTTTGAAACAGGAACCGTAAGTGTGATATGAATAAATAATAATAATAATTAGGGCTGTCAATAGATTTTAAAAAATAACTAATTATTTGCACATTTTGAAATTCAGTAATTGCAAACTGAACCAGTGACTGTCCTGCTGTCCTCGTCCTCGTCCTCGTCCTCCATCGTTTGACGGCTGTGCTTGAAGTGCCAACAATCTCCCCACATTTACCCAGGACCTTTTCCAGCCACGGCCTCTTAGGGACACAGTGGTGGTCCTCTGCAGGGTAGATGTTGACGTGGGAGTAGCCTGGCAGCTAGCTTAGCATAGCAGCGTGTGAAGTGGTCACAGTTCTCCTGTTTGTTTATCTCTTGTTTTCTAACTGACTGCCGCTAGCAGAGGTTTCGTTTCTGGGGTCGTTAACTGCGTTCCAATATTTTATTGCATTAATCTCGGCCACATTAATAGTGTCGGTCCTTCACTTTCATCTCCACCTCATCAGCTCGTTCTGTCCACCTGCCAGTCACACTCACTCAGTACTTAAACCCCGATCGTCCTTTCTCCTAGACTGCTTCCCTGGCTGACCCTGCCTGTCCTGGACTGCCCCTGTAACTCACCCAGTCTTCTGACCCCACCACGTTGTTTCCTGTTGACTTGCATTGAGGAGTAATGAATAAGGAGTGAAATACTTTGTTTGGAACTACAACGGCTGTGTGTTGTGGTCCGTACCTCCCCCGCTGCATAGATTACCGCGGTAATGTTGACAGCCCTAATAATAACCTATGGATTACATCATATACGCTGATGTATGTACAGATACTATTCATTGACGACCTCTATGCCACGAGGTGAGAATCAATGACGCCTCTGTAAAGTATATGTGGCTAATTGATTAGGATGACGGCCGTTTGTAAGCCTCCCTGATTACTTTAGTTGGGTTTAGCTTTAGTTGGGTTACCTACCACTCCACAGAAAGGTCCAGCAGGGGGTGACGTGGCGTCTGGGCCATCATACAACTTCAAGAAGTTGTCCTGGCAATCTCCAGTATCATCAATACTGATTTGGGCGAAGGTGATGGTCACCACGCGACCTCTCGGGGCCTCGATGCCCCATTCACAGTGGCTGCTGTTGGGGTAGGTGGCCGGGTAGTTTGGACTTGAGAATGAGCCGTGGTCGCCGTACAGAGTGCCGCCACAACCTAGAACACAATTATATGGAACCACGGTCAACTTAAAGACAGACTCAGGAATCATTACACTGGTAAATAACACAACCAGCACGTCGCCCTCGTGGTGTCGCTGTCTAAATCTATCTGTACTGCTCATAATAAGAAGAATGCTGCCATTAACAGAGAGGACAGTGAGTGAGATCGATCCCTCAGTAACTGATAAGCAGTGGATGAGACAATGTCCTCATCTTTAAGACTTCTGCTGTGCCCATAAAGACACAGTCAGTGTGTGTTGGTGTAGTTGGAAAAACAGCTAATTTTGTCTCCAATGCAAGATACAGAAATGAGGCTAAAATGAAACTGCATAACTAGTACTTTTATAATGATGGATTACAAAACAGGGAAAAGGTGGAGCTACGAGTTTACTGTCAGAAGTAGTCAGCAGTAGTAATAGTAGTACTGGTGGGAGCGTTGATAGCAGTCATTTGGTACTTTTATTTTTATTATTATTCATTAACTGCACTGCCAACTTTTTAAAAATGTCTTAATCAATCTGCTCTTGATGCTTTTTAAATCTCCTGCCTGATGTTTAGTGGTTTTACTGGTTTTATGTGAAGCCCTTTGAATTGTGTGAGAGGGGCTTTCGTGTGTTGGTGTTTCTGTGTGTGTCTTTTTATGTGTAATGCCACAACTGTTTGGTCTTCGGTTGGAATGGAAACGTGTGAAACCTGGTTTGAGTTCTGCGCTGACCGTGAGGGGAGGACGTCCATGTGGCATCAAATCCATCGCGGGCCGCCGAGAAGTCACTCTTGAAGCGTAAGTACAGCAGGTTGGATGGTGTGAAGATGGGACTGGGCAAGGTGTTACCGCAGAACCGACCAATCAGTGGCGAGTCTGCTTCACCGCCATCGCGGATCTGAGAGGCAACAGAGGGTCGGGATTTACTGACACCGTGCACACGCTTGGCCTGGTGGTGGAAGGAAAGCGCTCACCAGTACATCACTGCTGTACTCTCAATACCATAAGTACCATTAGGATGTGAGCAAAAGCAAGTGCTACTGTTCAGCCATCGCCGCTCATTGTTCTACCTCAGTACTGGATCTGTTGTTCCGTTCATCACGTGGACACAAAGCAGTGTACACATTTAAAAAGACGTGTTGATTATTGTATCTGTAAGTGTTCATACGATTATACTATCTGTATTGTATATTTACATGTTTGTAGTGGTTTTACCTCCAGGTAGTCAAATCCACAGTGACTGTGGCTCTCCACATCAAAATAGTTAAAGAAGAAGGAGATGGAGGAGTTGTGTGGTGCCTTCAGGATGACGGTGCAGTCCATGTTGTGGGGGTAGATGTCCGGCCAGCCTGGACTCTTCAGGTAGCCATATTCCTGCTCATAGGTCCGGCTACAACCTGGAAATAACCACAGCATGGTTCTGACTTCATGACGAAGAAACCAGATCATCATCATCATCTGCTGGCTGGCGACTGTGTGGATGTACTGTAAGTATCATCTGTTAGTGTCTCACACTGACGTCTCCAACACAAATGTCCTAATCTGATGTAACGTGATCTAAAGTTTTACTTTGGACCTTTGAGGCCGTGTCTCCCTCTGCTGTCTGACAGCAGTCACACACACGCCTGCCTCTTCTCATCGGGTCATGTGGCTTCATTCCATACACTCTGTCATACGTTAGAGCAGTGGTTCCCAAACTGGGGGTCGCGACCCCGCAGCGGGTCGCCGCTTCATCGCCAACCCTAAAAAAAGCAGATATTTCCCGTGTCTACTTGTGCTCAACCTTCAGAGTTCTTTACTCTTAAGGAGTGAAAACCAATTCCGAGACTTTTATTTATAGTACTGCTCATTAGTCCCTGTTAGCTCAGGGTGGTGCCCCGTTGGTTATTCACTTATTGACGTCAACCATTTAGTTTTACACTTTTAACTGTTAACCAAACCGTTCCAACTCCGGCACATTTATTGGGAAAGAATAAGACCTCATAACATATTTCCTGCCATGGGATGATGGCGCTGATGTGACCGGTTTATGCATTAGAGGAAGGAAACCCACGCGGAAATACTAATTTGTATCTAAATATGTGGGAGAAATGTGGAAGTCAGACGGGCTGACAAAGGCCGGAGTGTAGTACGAGTTAGTGACGGCGATGTGCAGGTGAGCTGACACTGATCAAAGTGCTCAACAGCTTTGTTTGCAGTTTTGAGGGTTTCCACAGAACCGAACCCTAAATACTAATGAACACGCAGCCCTGAAGAAAGATGCTAAACATCTCGTTGTGGTGCGTGTGCATCCAACCTGAACCTTGTCTTTTTGACCTCTATCCAATATCCTGTTTCATCCTGTCCAGTAAATGTTGACTCAACGTAGCCCCAGTTAATCTGTGATTGGGTAAAAAGGTAGTTTATTGGCGCAGTAGAAGAGCTTGACGTACTGGCGATCTGGTAGGACAGCATCAGGCCATTTCCTGTCATGAAGGTGTCAGATTTGAAGTGCACGAGGACGGTTCTGCTGTAGCTGTAGAAGTCTGGTGGAGGACCATCTGATGCACAGAACTTATGTGACTGCCCGTCGTCTCCCTGGAGACACGAGTCCTCTCAATCAGGGTAAACGTCACAACATCATTGGAGGGCTTTTATACGTTTATCATCAAAGTGGTTTCATAGCAGACCCCCGTTTTAAGGGTAACAACACTCACCACCGGCCAGTCCTTCATCTCCAAATAGTTTGTGGAGCAGCTCTGGCTGGGCTGAAGCACGAAGGTCTGGACTGAAACCTTGATGGATTCCTGGGCCGGAGCATCCAGCACCCAGCGGCAGGAGGTATAAGGAGAATAGCCATTGGGGAAGGAAGGCGAAACCAGGCTCTGGATGGTGGTGGTGGCGTTCAGAGTCCCGCCGCAGACCACTGGGGGAAGGCAAACACATTGGGAGGGTCACAAACAGCAACATGTTAGACTACAAACATCAGCGGAGGAATTGGCAGCCTGATAAGAGATAAGAGATAGCGAGTAACATCCCTTGTCCTGTTCCCCCTTTCTTTTACCCTCGAAATCCTACCTTTCAAAATGTGTTAGTCCCGGACGAGGTACGCGTGATAAGAAGAGTCACAGCCTCGATTTAGCGGTGTATTGCTATTGATCACAGGTTTTCCAAAATTCCAAAAGTTCCAGATTGAGGCGGAACATTGCAGAAAATGCAACTTACTAGAAATGTAAAAATGAAAATGTTTTAGGTTACGCTGTTTTCTTTGTGAAGCAGAGTGCAGAGAAGCAGAGGAGTGGGCGGCGTCTTACGCGGCACGGCGCTGTAGGTGGCGTTGAAGCCTCGTCTCTGCACTGAACTATCCGTGACGAAGCGAATAGTCAGGAAGTTTCCACTCGATACAAAGTGAGCAGGAACAAAGTTTCCACAGAATGTCCCAACCAGAGGGAAGTTCTCATTGTCTCCATCAAACACCTGACAGAAGTACACATACATGAAGGAACTGAACAGAAAAAGAACATCTGCATCAATACGCGGCCCAACGTACAACTAGTTGATTTAAGGAAGTGGTGATGAAGCAGCAACCCCCCCCCCGACAGCCCACCGCACCCCCGTGGGGGTCCCGCCCCCCGGTTTGATAACCGCTGATATACGTTGATATAGTAACACAAACGTAAGTTCTGTCCCACGAGCAACAGAACAGGGAAAGCTTGGCGCAGTATCTTCAGGATGAAGGAAAGGTTCTTTACTCTGACGTAGTCGTAGACACACGTGGAGGAGCTCTCGACCTCAAAGGAGTTGAACGTCAGGTTGACGGCCCTGTTGACCGGCAGCTCAATGGTCCACCGGCAGTCCATCCGGGGCTCATAGCGCCCGTCCAGGTCTGGGTCTGGGGAACCAAACATGCCCATGGGCATGGACAGGTAGCCACCACATCCCTGTGCAGGACCTGCCAACAATGATACAAACGTGGAGACAAGGACAGGAGGTGAGACTTAAGTCCCCTCAACTTTTTAACAGAATACAACCATTTGTGTACTTATTATTTGAACAATATCTGCAGAGATAGCACTAAACCAAACAGTGACCTTCTTTACATAATCATTCTGCTTCAGGGTTTCATTTTTGTCCAATAAAGTGAAACAATGTAGGCCTACCGAGTGTCTCCGTGTAAACAGCCCTCCAGCCGATGCCGTTCCCTGACGCATCGGTCTTGAAGACAATGAACAGCTGGTTGGTGGAGGAACGCAGATCAGGTGGGAGCACTGAACCACAGAATTTCCCCAACAGAGGCGCCAAGATGTCCTGTCCATCATACACTGCCACATAGTCATAGCGGCAGGATGAAGATGCCTCCAGGTGGAAGGTGTTAAACCTGTGGGAGAAGGTGGTGTTAAAGGTGTTTAGCATCCTGATCAGCCCTCTGCCCTTGTTCCATTCAAACATAAAAATGTAACCAAAACTAGTTTTAAATAGTTTTACCGAAGGAACAACATGGTTGAACTCAATGAGATGTTTTAGTGAGAAGAGCCAATACAAGAACATTATGGTTATTATTGCGTAGGAATCCTCCTCACACCTTATTCCATAAATAAACTCTTGCAGTCTTACTTGATATCCACCACTGTGTTGGCGCGGACCACGATGTGGTAGGTACAGTTGATGTTGTGGTGGTAGTTGGTCATGGACAGAGCTGGACTGCTGACTGTACCCATTGTGCTGTTGAAGAAACCACCACATGCTGCACACACACACACACACACACACACACGGTTGGACATGGATACCTCTGAGCGTGACCTCACTATATGGAACGACAGAGACCCTCCTCAACTGGAACAACGTACTCTGGAAAGCTGTCTTTGTCCTCAGTCCCTACATTCAGACCTTGCATCTGTCATCAGAGTGCAGCATTTGTTACTTACGGATGGCTCTGTATTCTGCCGTAAAGCCCCGGTCAGAGATCACAGAATCAGAGTAGAAGTGGAGTAACATGGGGCCGAAGCTGGAGAACGGCCCCGGGACGCTGCTACCACAGAGGGTGGCGAGAGCACGGCCACCGGTAGCCATGCTGTAGATCTTCAGCCCGTCATACTGGCAGGTGGAATGTGCTAGAAAACAGACAGATAGTCATCAAAGCTGCTTGACTATCAAACCAAATGTCCATTTGGAATGGATGTTAAACAGAGACAAGACATCTGCAGTCCTTTCTGTGTGCTGCTCATACTTGCCTTCAACCTGGAAGACCTGGAAAGTGAGCACGACCACAGACTGCTCTCCAGCGTCTATGGTGTAGTTGCAGTTGGAGTGGTCGGGGTAGTTGGCAGGGTAGTTGGGAGAAACCACACGGCCGCTAGGAGCTGTAAAGTTTGCTCCGCACCCTGATAATGAGAAGACATCAGACCTCATCCTTTAACACTGAAGGGAACACCATCCCTTCAGTGGAAATTCACTTCAATCATTATTAATATCACCACGACAACTGGGACTAAAAACTACTTACTACTGTAACACGGCAAATATGGAAAAGCTGGTTTTACAGGTGAAACTCCAAGAGAAGAAAAGTATTCATAGCAAACACAGATGTGTTACAATCACAGGCTCTATTTCACATTCAGTCAGTATGACGTTATCCACACAGTGAAGATGTCTGCCTGGATCTTACTGGTGCTGAAGGACGCTGAGAACCCTCTGCCAGGGGCTCCTGTTCCCTGAAATCGGCTCGTCAGGATGTTATATGGAGCAACGATGGTTCCCGGGGCCACTGAGCCACAGCCTGTTGACAGCAGGGCCTCAGCATCTTGGGTCTGACCTGACCACACCTGTAGGAAGAAGCATTCCGATTCAGAAGGTGTATTGTCTTCTATCTATGCATCTTTGGCAGAAGATAGGAAAGAATGGCAACAAGGCGGGGCTTATTTCATTTGGGCTCGTACAACCAAACACTGAAGAAGACTGGAGAAGAATTTGAGGTTTAAGACCAAAGTAAGGAAAACTGTAATTTCGGACAATTTTGCCTTAGCGACCACTCAATCAGCGTGTAGCCCCGCCCCAAAGCATCCCCTGCTTTATGGTCTACTGGGGACCTGTCAATCAGCATGTAGCCCCATCCCAAAGCATCCCCTGCTTTATGGTCTACTAGGGACCTGTCAATCAGCATGTAGCCCCATCCCAAAGCATCCCCTGCTTTATGGTCTACTAGGGACCTGTCAATCAGCATGTAGGCCCGCCCCAAAGCATCCCCTGCTTTATGGTCTACTAGGGACCTGTCAATCAGTGTGTAGCCCTGCCCTAAAGCATCCCCCGCCTCATGGTCTGTTAGAGACCTGTTAATCAGCGTGTAGCCCCGCCCCAAAACATCCCCTACTTTATGGTCTGTTAGAGACCTGTCAATCAATGTGTAGCCCCGCCCCAAAACATCCCCTACTTTATGGTTTGTTAGAGACCTGTCAATCAGTGTCTAGCCCCGCCCTAAAGCATCCCCTGCTTTATGGTCTACTAGGGACCTGTCAATCAGTGTGTAGCCCCGCCCCAATGCATCCCCTGATTCATGGTCTGTTAGAGACCGGTCAATCAGTGTGTAGCCCCGCCCTAAAGCATCCCCCGCCTCATGGTCTGTTAGAGACCTGTTAATCAGCGTGTAGCCCCGCCCCAAAACATCCCTTACTTTATGGTCTGTTAGAGACCTGTCAATCAGTGTCTAGCCCCGCCCTAAAGCATCCCCTGCTTTATGGTCTACTAGGGACCTGTCAATCAGTGTGTAGCCCCGCCCCAAAGCATCCCCTGCTTCATGGTCTGTTAGAGACCTGTCAATCAGTGTGTAGCCCCGCCCCAAAGCATCCCCTGCCTCATGGTCTGTTAAGAGACCTGTCAATCATGGGTGTAGCACCGCCCCTAAAGCATCCCCCTGCGTCATTATTCTGTAAAGAGACCTGTCAACCTGGAAATGCTTTTCTGCTGTAGCTCAATGGCGTTACCTTGATGTAGCTGCCCTTGCACGCCCAGTGCTGTTTGGAATCTGGAAATCAGAGTTGAACCTCATCTCCAAGTGGCTGCCCTGATGAGCAATAGATCCACCAGGAACACTGCACATTGGCTGGGAAAATTCTTGTGGATTGTTTGGAGACTTGATAGTTCCCATGTCAGCATGGATCACCCCTCCACAGCCTGGCCAGGAAAAGAAGTGAGTGCATATAAATGGTGATGCCGCTCATCTGAACACTGGATTCTACAAATGCATTAGCCAGCTGAAGAGTGTGGAATATTTAGTAGAGTTTGTGTAAGCATGTCTGATTGACATTGCTATGGAGATGATAGAAAGCTGGACTCGTTATTGTATCCCTACTAATCAGGTCAGCATGCGGCATGTGGAGCACGTTCATTTAGTGAGTGTAGCCCACCTGAGGAATCAGCCGACCAGGACGCCATAAAGCCTCCTGTGGAAACACTATGGTCGGCCAGGAAGACTACAGCAAGCTTGTTTGATCCGGACTGTTTAGTGCCTGGGGAGGTGCCCCCGCAGTACTGGCCAATAACAGGAGAGCCAGGGGATCCTCCATTGAAAACGGTGACGGAGTCCCAGCCACATTGAGAGTGCGGCTCCAGGTTGAAATAGCTGAAGGTCAACTGTGGGAAGACAAAATGAAGACTACTTATCAGCCTCTCCATCTGCAGCAAACAGCAGTAGATGTACTGGGAGTACAAAGGGGGGGCTCCCATTACTCAAAATGAGACTTTACAGCTCCACTATATGAATAAAAACTCCTCAAATAGATTTGGTACACGTGCGCTTACTGTCTAAATTGTGTTTTAGTTTGTTTGTTGCATCAAAGTCAATTTTAATTTAATTTAGCTTTTCTGTTGTTGCAGAAAGGTCCCTTATGTATATAAGACTCAATGAATACAGAGGTAATGGAAGCAAACACAGACTTACTGTAATAGTGTGTCCTATTGGAGCCTCTAGTAGCCAAGCACAGCGACTGGGGCTGGGGTATGTGTTGGGGTAGTTAGGACTGGATACCAGTCCCCCTTCACCTGTCTGCAAGCCTCCACACTCTGCAAAGAGAGAATGCTCACACACCGAGTTGTTCGGTAGATCAGGACCGTTTACCATACCCAGGGGACAGCCTACGTGTGTCTTACCAGAGAACATGTACTTGCCCTGAAGCCCACATCTCCCTGGGGAGGCATCAGTCTTGAAATGGACCCATAGCTCATGGGTAAAGACTACAATGGGAATTCTGGGAGTGGTCTGCCCACAAAACTTGGCCAGCAGCTCCCCATCTGAGTCACCTGTGGGAGGGGGGGGGAAGTGAAACAAAAAGAAATCCATCCGCTTTCTCCAAGACCTGCTTCCCTGTGATGGGGTGGAGCTAGTTTCATACGTGCAGAGATGATCATAATGTTTCTAATTAGGCACTGGTGATCGTACTCAGACACACCCAGGACCAGCATATGGGGTCAGGTGGACTGAAAGCAAGCCCCTTTGTGCTGGAAGAGACTGAGCTTTCCATTAAGCTGCCAAAGTGCATGAACATTGTTATCATCCACTATTAGAATAGCACATGCAAACCTCAGTACTACGCAGACCTGAGGCAGCGCGTATGGGAGTTGAGATCTACTAAAGGCTTATGCACGTCACACAGGGAATAGACTGACCGAGGGCCGTCTTTACTCTACTCCCCTAACGATCATCATTAGGGTATTTCCTTGTTCCACGGCCGCCCCTATTAGAATAATAACGCATAGCTATAGCTTGGCATTGACATAAATATATTATTTTCATATATTTGGAATTGGGGTTTTTTTTTTGGAAAGAATTTTTGGACTAAAAGAGAGCTCATGGTTTAAGTACGGTCAACCATGTCTGAAGTAAACCAGACAGTCTGGGCGTCGCTCATCGCTGGTCGCCACAAATTCTGTGGCATGGAAGATCCCCCACATATGCACCCCATCTTTTCAAATAAAAATCAGAAGCAAAAGACATTTCAAAAGGTCCTTGCAGGACCGACGCTGTCGGCTGCTCGGGCCCTCATAATAAAACAAGTGAAGCTTGTACCCTCACCCTGTGCTGTACGGCTCAGGTGTTCAGACTGATCAGCAGATGTGTAACAACACTCACCAAGGCGCAGCTGGAGGTAGTCGGACTCACAGGTCTGCTGGTTCTCCAGGTGCAGCTCTTCTATCAGCACCACGATAGAGGAGTTGACGTGCTGTGGGTTCTGGATTAGCCACTCACAGTTCAGGTTGTTGCTGTAGTTGGACACTAAGTATCCAGGGGAAGTGAAGTTTCCACCCGCTGGGTTGTTCAAGATCCCACCACATTCTAACAAAAGACGGCATGAAACAGATGATGTTGGGTTGTTTTAACAAATAGTTATAGGTAAAGGCAGTGAGGAGGCTCTTATAAAGTGAAATCTGACCCTGCATGCTGAAGACTCTTCATCTGGTCTTCTCAATTCACAGTAAATTAAACCTGGATGATATCTTCCTGCCGCCATGTGGAGCCTGATTGTACACTATCACCACGGGGCTATTAAATAAACTCATTTAATAGCCCCATTTAATAAAGAAATCATGATATTGGACTGGGTTGGCCCTCCTGATATTCTAATCAGTTCACCCACAACCGGATTTTGGCAACGCTTCTCCTTCCTCTTCCTAAAAAGTGATTATTATTTGAGGCTGGCAGCGATGTCTTTATCACATTTTCCAGTTGCCACAAACATGTTTTGCTAAGGATATGTAGCAATAACTAATGTAGGAATAACTCTTTTACTGAGAAGTATCTCACCCGCAGGCTCCTCAGAGGAGTACGAAGCCATGAAGCCCCCATTGGACACGGAGGCATCAGTGTGGAACACAACGGTCATTGTGTTGCCGGAGGAGCGCACCTCTGTGCCTGCTGGTACTGTACCACAGAATATGTGTAGGCAGAGGGGCATCGACCAACAACCCGTTGAGGATCTAGAAAACACA